TTGAACACTTTCCATGTCTTGGCAGTTGTGAATTGTGCTGTTATAAACACGCAAGTGCAGGCGTAACTTTTTCTAAAATGACCTTTTTTCCCTCAGGTATATACCCAGCCGTGGGATTGCTGGGTCAAGTGGTAGGTCTACTTTAAGTTCTTCAAGGTATCTCGATTCCATGTTCCATAGAGGTCACGCTAGTTTGCAGTCCCACCAACAGTGTACGAGTTCCTTTCTCTCCGCATCCACTCCAGCATCTGTCGTTTTAGGACCTTTATATACGAGCCATTCTCACTGGAGTTAGGTGATATTTCATCGTGGTTTTGATTTGCATTTCCTTGATGATTGGCGATGTTGAGCATTTTTTCATGAGTTTATTGGCCATTATTCTTCATTTGGAAAGTTTCTGTTCATGTCTTTTGTCTACTTTTTAATGGAGCTGTTTTATCAACCCTTTATCAGATGGATAGCATGTGAATACTTTCTCCCATTCTGTGGGTTGTCTATTTGCTCTTTTGATTGTGACCTTGGCTGTGCAGACATGAACAGAAACTTTTCAAATGAAGAATAGACTGACTGTGTGACCTGGGATGAGGTAATCCACCTCTCTGTTCTTCAATTTCTTCATGTGTTAAAGGACATTAATCTCTACTTCATGGCATTTGTAAGGATGGAGGATTAATTGATGGGCACTTCCCAATATCACCTGTTAGCTTGTGTCACCGTTGTTGTTTTTGATTTCTGAGTTTGACATTAAGTTGAAATTTTAGCCAAAGTAAAGATGTGTCTTTTTCCTTCAGGCCTTTCTACTCCTCTTTGCCAAACCCTACTGGAAAAGTGCCCCAAATCTTCCCATTTTAAGACATCTCACAGGGCTTCTGTCACTCCAGCACACCCCACACCGTGCTCAGCAGTAACCTCCACTCGCTGGTCGTCCTTTGCCACACACTAGCATTTTGCTTGTTGGCTGCGATGGTTTAACTGGGCTTTCCAGGAGAGGCAAGAAGATAATCAGGCTCTGTAATGATTTGTTTGGACTGATCTTCCTTGATGCAGACTCATTAGTGGCTGTCACCAAATGGTGGCTAATTTAACTCACAAGTACCTACCCCCTTCCCCGCTTCAGTTCTCACTAGGGAAGGCGCTGACGTCAGTTTGCACTTACTGGTAGCCTCAGGTCAGGCGTGTATTTTTACTTTGGTTAATAACTCTTCCTATTTCTTGATGTTGCTATTAAATGCAGGCTTGCTACTAGAACTCGCTTATGGTGCCGCCCAGCTCAGTTGCTCCCTGTGCTTTAATCTGCAGGAGATTCGGAGTAGGATCTTTTGTGACACTGGCAAAACTCAGCACTGCCTTCTGTGATTGTCAGGGTGTGCGCTTCCGTCCCTTAGACTTAAAGGAGTTTCTGTCTTCCCTTCTGTCTTTCCTTTCTTAAGTTATAAAATCTTTAAGGGAAAAAGATTTTTCTTTTGACTCTTATCAACTCCCACTGGAGAGCGTTTAAGCCTGGCCTGTACATCAGACAGGCACAAGTACATCAGCAGAGTTTACTGATTGGTGGGGCAGAGGGGAGGGCCCTCAGCCACGACCCAGCTTTCCTTGGGGACAGCATTCAGGACTGCTCTGTGGGCTTGAAATCCCAGATGTTTAATTCAGTTGTCCAGATATTGTCAACTTCAGAGTCATAAAAGCACCCGCTCCGTGTGTGTACGGAAACTTGCACACATGTACACCATGCAGTGTGGTGAATATTGAGCTTCAAATATTGTCCAGAAGGGGTTGCTGTCTAGTGGAGACAGGTGCATTCTGCAGACCCTAGTGTGTGCACCGAGTTACTGACCGTTAGAGGGCTGGCATCCTCGCACTGGGGAAGGTCAGTTAAAGGCCCCCTTTTTCCTAATGGAATTGAGGTTCAATTGTTATTAAGAGAGAACTGATTGGGAGCTGGGAACAGGGGAGTCTACATTCTTGCCCTTCAAGCCATAGATGTTCTTTTGAAAATCCTGTATTTGTTTACTCAAATCATGCAAGGAAGGAAGGAAAGAAGGAAAGACCATTTCTTTTCTTCTTTCTTTCTTTTCTTCCTTCTTTCCTTCCTTCCTGAAAGAAGAAAGAGCCTAGAGAAGAGTACATGGTCGCAGAAGTTGGGGAGTGGAAGTTTCTTCTGCTTTCTCACCCGAGTGTCAGTGTCCCGTGTTCAAATCTCTCCCTTTTCCCACCCCTCTCCTTCTGTTCAGACAAGAGTGAGAATGGTGAGGCCTATCAGAGGAAGAAGGTGGCAGCCACTGGCCTTCCAGAGGGCCCAGCCCCACACGCCCCATCCGCGCCTTCTCGAGGGAACCCGACGCAGCCGGGCGGCAGCAGCTGGAGGAGGATCGCGCTGCTCATCTTGGCCATCACCGTACACAACGTTCCAGGTGAGCCTTGCCCTTGAGCACGCCTGCCGCGCCTGCAGGTGAAGTCACTTGTCAGTGGACTTGTCTGCCTGGAAAACGGGGATGGGCAATAGCGGTCCAGGTCCTTTGAGGAGAGGAGTGAAGGTAGGATTTTAATTTTGGGGGTTACTCACTGTAGCTGGATCATCCCATGCTAAAACTTACCATTCCTGTTACTTTAAAGAACTTCTCTTATTCCTGCCTGTGAGTTCCTTTCTTTACATATTTGCTACCAAGTTCTTTGGAGCAGAAATTCCTAACTGATGCATGGTTGCTGTGGAGGGGCCTTTTATAAACTCAGTCTCTGGTTGCACTGAACGCTATTTGGAAATACGGCTGGCCCTCGAGTAACGCAAGTGTGAGCTGTACGAGCCTGCGTACACTCGGGTTTTCTCCCTTTCCTCTGCCACCCCTGAAACAGCAGGACTAACCCCCCTTCTCCCCAGCCTACTCAGCGTGAAGACGACCAGGATGAAGACCGTTAAGATGATCCACTTTAAAAATAGTGACTATAGTTTCTCTTCCTTATGTTTTTCTTAATAACATTGTCCTTTCCCTACCTTACTTTGTTGTAAGAATACAGTATGTAACACATATCACACACAAAATAGGTGTTAATCGGTTGCATGTGTTACTGGTAAGACTTCTGGCCGACAGGAGGTGATTAGGAAGGTTTTGGGGGAGTCAAAAATGACACAGGCATCTTCCACAGTTCAGGAGGTCAGCGTTCCTAACCCCCTCAGTCAAGGGTCAAGAATATTGAGTTCAGCATAGTTTGGTACTGACATTTACCTCACCTGCTTTCCTTATGTGAGTCTTTTTCTAAAAGGTCCTTGCTTATCCTTTTCTGCCTTTTGGAGTCATTTATCTTATGTCTTTGGATTTATTTCCTTTGGGGAAATGACTTACCAATGTTTCATTTTGAAAATAATATATGTTTCTTTCAGAGAAATCAGAAGACATGAATAAGTATAAAAATAATAAAGATAAAAATAAATACATGGAGGGAATCTGAGCTCTTTGGGATACATTTTGAAATTACGACTCGGCAGCTTACTAATGAGTTTATCTTCACAAGTCACTTGAACTCCCTGAACCTTGGTGTTCTCATCTAGGGAAGGGGATAGTGCTGTTACAACTGGCTTATTTTGGGCTAACTGTGCGTTCGGTTTGGGGCACAATGCTAGGGCCTTATGAGCATTTGAAAAATGGGAGCCACTGGCAGCACCGACAGTATCCCTGCCTGCCTTTCCGCCGCGACCTTCTTAATCTTGAGTTCTTCAACATTCGGATCTATCATTTATTGTTTGGGATCTCAAGTGGCAGCAGGAATCTTCCCTGAGCAGTGTCCCTGGGTGATACATTTTCTGAGTCCTTGCAGAGTCTATCCTGCCAACCCGTCACTCTATTACAGGAGCACCAGGGTGGCTGGGCAGAGCGTTCTCGCCATGACATTTTTCTCTCCAAAGCCATTTTTCTCTTCCAAGCTCTGGCAGATATTGCTCCCTCGTCACCTGGCGTTAGTACTGTGGAAGCAAATAGCATGGCCAGACGGAGGTCATTCCTCGTGGAACCTGACATCGTTTCGCTTTGACAATGAAGAGGGGTTTTTTGCTCATCTTTAAAGAGTGAAAATTCTAGTGTATTTTATATATCCCAGGACGTATTTAATCTTCCTGAAACACTATTTGTTTAATCACTTTTTTAGGCTCAGATATTGCACTAGATAGGAAGGATGTTCCTTATTTTTTCTGTCCCAGTCTTAGGAATGTCTGTCCTGTGATCATACGGGCTGGCTTTCCCCAGAGTCCTGTTTCTCTCTCGTATCCCTCTCGGCCTTTTCCCTTTGAGTTATGAATAAATTTTGGGGGGTTGATTTTCTAGAGCTTGTTATTCAGTATGTCTTTTTTTTTTTTTTTTCCTTGAGACAGGGTCTTACTCTGTTACCCAGGCTGGAGTGCAGTATAGCCATGTAGCCTCAGACTTCTGGGGTCACGCGATCCTCTTGTCTCAGCCTCCCGAGTACCTGGGACTTTAATGACGTGTTACCACATCTACCTAATGTAGTTTTTTTGTAGAGACAGACAGGATCTTGCTGTGTTGCCCAGGCTAGTCTTGAACTCCTGACCTCAGCGATCCTCCGCGTTGGCCTCCCAAAGTGCTTGGGTTACAGGCATGGGCCACTGTGCCCAGCCCTTTAGTATGCTTGAGATGAAGTCTTAGGTGGGCCCCAGTGCACTAAGATGACCCAAGTAGATTTGCCCTGGTGGAAAGGTGTGGTCTTCCCTTCCTGTCCCAGCTCATTGGAAGACCCCTCACTCCCCTGCAGAGGCCAGCAGGAGAACCCTGAGCATCACTTTTAGCCTGTAAAATGCTAATGGTCAGTGGAGAGAGGTTACTTAGGTTGTTTTCCAGTCATACTGGTAGTGGCTCTTTTGCCATTCACGACCACGTTAACCAACTGAACAAAAATAAAGGTCTTTTCAGTGAGTGTAGCCCCAAATAAGATAACTACACTGGCTTGAGGTGTACTGTGGTGACTGTCTATTTCCTCTGAGAGGAAAGTGGCCCAAGATCCAGATTTCCCAGAATAGACCTTTCCTGTGCCACACCTGCCACCATCCGTCTGTGTTCCAGTGTGGAATCATTTCTTGGAGCATTGTGACAGAGACTAGGGAGCATCAAACTCTACTTTCTCAGATTTTTGACTCCAGTGAGAACTTGGACTTAAGCCAGAGACAGAGGGGTGTCCGTAGGAAGATGCGTCTGATGACGGCAATATTGGACGTCCTAAGTCAGCGTGGGTCCACACCTTACTGCTTCACTGACCAGAGGCCCTCCTGTGGGCTGTGGGCTTTCCACTCTAGGTTCAGCCCTTGTCTCTTTTAAGGTAATGCAGAAGCGTCTTTTGAAATGAGGCTTGGGTGGGCTCACTGGCAGCTTAGGTGAATAAGGCTTCATCAGGTTGTGGTGGTGATTCTCACTGGTCAGTAAACTGGACGACACCTGGCTGGCCTGGACCCAGCGGTGGGAAGGGAAATGTCTTTCCCAGTCCTGCCTCTAATTAGTTATATTTTAACATTTCATTCTAGGTACTTGGGTTGTATTAGTGCTCAAACAGGGCAAAATCTAAGGCCTTCTGTAGTGAATATAATAACGGGTTGAGATAGTTAAGGAACGTAACAGTAAGTGAATTATAGATTGTGTTAGAAGTGAGATAGTTAATGAACATAATTAGTAAGTGAATTATAGTTCTTGTTACAAGTTGGTTGGTGCCATAACAAAATAAAAACTGCAACAGGCAGAGGAGGTGGTAGAGTTAGAGTAAGAAATTGCTTTTTTTTTTTTTTCGTTTGAGATAGAGTCTCACACTGTCACCCAGGCTAGAGTGCTGTGGCATCATAGCTCACAGCAACCTCAAATTCCTGGGCTTACGTGATCTTCTTGCCTCAGCCTCCTGAGTGGGGGGATGATAGGTACCCCCCACAATGCCTAGCTAGTTTTTCAGGTTTTAGTAGAGATGGTGTCTCAGTCTTGCTCTGGCTGAGGAGTTCCCATTTTTAAACAGAGGAGGTGCGGGAGGTGGGGGTGGGGCTCACTGAGAAGTTCTTAAATCCAAGTCAGTCATGGAGATCTCTGGGAAAGGGTGAGTGCTCCTGGTGGAGAGAACAGCCTGTGCAAAGGCCCTGAGGTGGGAGTGACCAGGAGTCCAGTGTAGCTGCTGCAGGGTGAGCAGGGGGAGGAGAGCGAGGAGAGGGCAGGGAGGTCAGCTCTGCCATTAGCTCCACCGCGGAGGTGTTGTAGGAATTTTCACTTTTACACTGTGGGTGATGAACCGCTGCAGGGTTTTGAACAGGGAGCACATGACTTGAGCTTTGAAAGGTTCCTTCTAAGTACTGCCTTGGGAAGGAACTTAGGAAGGGTAAGGAAGGAACCAGGGAGGCCTGGGTGTAGAGGCCACACAGAATCCAGGGCAAAGACTATGGTGGTGCAGACCATTCTGGGTCTCTACCGACTATGCAACCCACAGGGTCAGCTGGCAGACTGCACGTGGATCTTGAAAGAAAGAGAGAGGGGAGTAGTTAGGGACCCAGAGGTTTCCTGGCTGCCCAGCTTCAAGGATGGAGTTGCCATCAACCCAGATAAGAAAGGCTGCAGCCAGGGCAGTTTTAGGAGGAGTATCCAGAATTCAGTGTCAGACTGTGAGGTTTGGTTGCTATGAGACATTCAAGGGGAGAGACTGAGTTTGGAGTTGGGGACAGAAGTCCAGCTGGAGGTACAAACTTGTGAATCATTGGCACATGAATGTTTCTTAAACCCATGACTGGATTAAGCCATCAAGGGTCTAAGTACAAATAAATGTCTCCAAAGACCCCACTGCAGGTCATTCCTCGAGTCCCCAGCTTCTGCTCTAGTTTAAAGAGACCTTAACTCACACACAGTGACTGTGGAGCAGATGCGCCCTTCCATGAGGACCATTTTAAGAGCCCATTCAGAGCCAGCGTACCTTTGAGAAGGTCTCTTCCTCGGATACTATCCTGTATAGCTTATTAAAATTTTAACTAGAGCTTTGGCATTCCCTGGGACTCAGGGTTTTAAGATCAACTTTTCACAGCGACTAAACGGATAATTGATCTCTGAAGTCTTTTGTCTTCGCCGGTTCTGTTTTCAATGTCCTGGGGATGACATTTTGTTAAAACTTTTTTTAATGTGGAAGGACAAAGGAAGGCTTGCCAGCGAGTATCCTGTCTCTGAGAGTTTTCTGGAGTATGAGGACACACGTGGCTTATGCACACACGGGAGCCCTTGGGTTAATAGTTAATACAGACGAGTGAGGACCAATGCGTTCTGAAGCTTCTGGGCTTTGCAGTCCTGAATCTAACAGGAGGTGTGGACCCTCGCACACGAGAATGTTGTCCACATCTTAGTCCCTTCCAGGTGTTGGGACTAAATGCCATAGACAGGGTGGCTTATAAGCAACA